GAAAATGTCGACTTTGCTATTGCGAACAATACAGAAGTCCCCACGCGCGCGCGCGTGAGGAGTTCTGTATTGTCCACAATAAAGAAGCCGCCATGTAATTGCAAAAACTGAATTTGAAATTTCTATGGGCCTTTAAGGAGGCCGACGGAAATGTCGACTTTTCTATTGTGAACAATACAGAAGTCCCCACGCGCGTCTTCTCGTTTGTTCCGTCCGCGTCCGCGCCAATGTTCTCTGGTCTTCTGCCATGGCGACAGGTCGCTCTCCCGCGGAATGGTGGTCTGCGCGTCCTCTCGTTTGCGCCGCCCGCGTCCGCGCCCATGTTCTCTGGTCTCCTGCCATGGAGGCAGGTCGCTCTCCCGCGGGAAGGTGGTCTGCGCGTCCTCTCGTTTGCGCCGTCCGCGTCCGCGCCCATGTTCTCTGGTCTTCTGCCATGGCGAGAGGTCGCTTTCCCGCGGGAGGGTGGTCTGCGCGTCCTCTTGTTTGCGCCGTCCGCGTCCGCGCCCATGTTCTCTGGTCTTCTGCCATTGCGACAGGTCGCGTTCCCGCGGGAGGGTGGTCTGCGCGTCCTCTCGTTTGCGCCGTCCGCGTCCGCGCCCATGTTCTCTGGTCTTCTGCCATGGCGACAGGTCGCGTGACCGCCCCCAGAGGGAGGTGGGCGCGCGCGGCGCATCATGATTTACTTTTCTGCGCGGTGGGCGGCGCGGCCTGTCGGACACCCTTGGTGTCCTGTCCGGCGTTGGCCCCCCGTCGCGGGGGCGCGGGTCGGCCGCGGGTGACCGCGGTCGCGGCCCCGAGAGGGTACCCTTGTGTCCTGTGGTTCTGGGAGGTCATGTTGCCGTCGGAAGAGTCTTGTGTCCTGTCGCGTGTCCTGTGCAATGGACTCTGCCTGTAGTCTGATTTGCGCAAAGTCCCCGCTCACCCCCGTCCTGTAGATTTTTGCGAAATCCCCGCCGTCTCCAATATGTGCAAAATCCCCCCCATCGCCCCCCCCTCGCCGTCCTTTTTATTTTTGCAAAAAGCCCCCTCCCACGCCCGCCCCCCCCCCCCCCCCTCCCCCGTCCTTCCAGTTTTTGCATGAGCCCCCCCCTTTCCCACCCCCGTCCTTCAGATTTTGCCCCCCCCCCCCCCCCACCCCCCCCGGCTTTTTCGATTTAACGACGCCCCCCCCCCCCCCCCACGCCCCTTCGCGATCGTTATCCCTCCCCCCCCCCCTCCTCCCCCCCCCCTCCGCCGATTGCGGAGCGGGCCTTTCCGTATTATATTTCGGTGCGAACCTTGGCGGCACATCAGGCGTGCGCGCCTTGGCACCCCGTGCCCCCCCCCCCCCTCCCAGGCGGGCGAGCGGGCGGCTGCGGCGGGCAAGCGGTTGCGCATGTTGCGCCGGGGTGATTGGTCGAGGGCGCGGGGCCTTTCGGGGCGGCGACGCCGTCCGATGGCCGACCCCGAGCATGCCCGACGTGGAAGTGCAGAGGCGGGCAGCGAGCGATTGCAAGGCGCGCCGCGGATGCGGGCGGGCGCCGTGGGCGAGCGGCAGGGGGCGATAACGGGGATGGTTGGGCTTGGCTTGTGGCCGACAGGGCCTGATGGCGCGCGGGCTTGGCAGCGCGCGGGAAAGCGGCGGTGGACTGCCGGGGGGAAGCGGGGCAGCGGCGGGCGGGGCGTTGCGAACGGGAAGGGGGGGTGGGGGGGGGCGCGTGCGGGAGGGGGGAGGAGGCGGGGGGGGTTCTAGTTTGGTTTTGCCCTGCCAATGCAATCCATATTCCGATCGGACGCTCCTCCCGGTCTACTTTCGCCATTCTTCGCCGACGGGCTCTGATTGCAGTTGCCATGCTGGAAGACATCGTTGACGCGCCGCGGCGCAGCATCCTACAGCGTTGCCCCGTTGCCTGGGAAGCGTCGGGTTGCTTGTCGGCCCACAAGGCCTACGTCGCGATCGCGCGAGCCCAGGGCCGCAGTGCGTCTGCCCAACCCCGTCCCTTGTTCCAACAGGTTTGTGCACTTCTGCTATGCCCTCTGCTTTCCTGATTTCCTAACACCGCTGTAACCCCCACTGCATCAGTTCCCAAAGCAATTCTGCGTTGGGGCCCTCGGTCTGAAGCGACGGCGCCACGCGTCACCTTACTTCCCGCCCTCCCCCTCCCCCCAATCATCCCGCCCCTGTCCTGCGCTCCGTGCGTCAATGTCGGCGCACCCCTCCACGCGCTTCGTGACCGCGTAGGGAATTTCATGCGAGTTCCCAGCGGCGACGTCTGCATGCGTCCGCGCCGCCCATTGCGGCGCACCCATCACGCGCTTCATGGCCCCGTACGGATCCCCGCGTAAAGCCCCCGCGGCGACGTTGACATACGTCGGCGCCACCCATGGCGACGCGCCCCTCACACGTTCCGCAGCCCCATGGGGGGCTCCGCCAAATCCACCCAGTGGCGACGTCCACATGCGTCCGCGCCGCCCGTAACGGCGCACCCCTCAAACGTTTCGCGCCGTCATGGGGAGCTCCACCCAAGACCGCAGTGGCGATGTTACATGCGCCAACGCTCCATAGGGTGCTCCACCGAAGGCCTCAGCGGCGGCGTTTACATACGCCCGCGCAGCTCATGACAGCGCACCCGCGCGCCGTTCGTGGCCACGCAGCGAGCTCCCTGTACGGCACCACCGGCGATGTTTGCATGCGCTTGCGCCGCCCATGACGGCGCGCCTGTCGCAGTGTTCATGGCCCCAAAGCGAGCGCCGCCGAAGGCCCCAATGGCGACGTGCACATGCGCCCGCGCCATTCATTACGGCGCACACTTCGCGCGGTCCGCGGCCCCATAGGGAGGTCCACGTAAGGCCCCAGTGCCGACGTATGCACGCGCCCGCGCCCCCAAGAAGGGCACACCGCTCACGCGGTTCGTGGCCGCGTAGGGAGCTCCGCCTATAGCTCCACTGGCGACCTCTGCGTGCACCCGCGCCACGCATCACGGCGCACCGGTAACGCGTCCCGTGGCCCCACGGGGAGCCTCGCTTGAAGCCCCGACGGCGACGTTTACGCGCGCCCGCGTCGCCCGTTACGACGCGCCCCTCAGACGGCTCGTGGCCCATGAGGAACCCCATCTAAGGCCCAAGTGACGACGTTAGCATGCCCCCCCCCCTCCCCGCCCCCTCCCCCCACACCCTCCCATTCACTCCGCCCGCCCACCCACCGCGACCACCAGCATCAACACACACACACACGCACGCACACACACGCGCACACACACATACCACCACCACCACCACCACCATCGCCACCACCACCACCCCACCACCCTCCACCACCAACACCACACTTATACACACCACACACACCAACACACACAGACACGCGCACGCACGCACACACACACACAACACACACACAGACCACACACACACACACGCATTGTGGCGCACCCCGCGCGCGCTTCGTAGCCGCATGTGGAGCTGAAAGGGACGCGCCAGTGACACTTGCCGATGCGTTGCCCCGCAGGAGGTTTCACCGAGGAGGGTGTTCACAAGTGCTCGCTCCCAATTGCACATGGTATGGCTTTTCGTCACGATGAGTATATACCAGCTCTAAGTCGTCCTACTACCACATGCCACACACTGGTTTCACATGACTCTTTCCTGTTCTGGAGTACTCGTCGGTGCTCATGTGGGTTTCGCGCTTCGTTGCTCAGGAGCCAGTCGTACTCGATTCACCTTCCGCATTACTGGAACAAACTTGCTCGACGCATACACTAACTCTCGTGTTTTCTCTGGTCTATTCCTACCCTATGGAGATTGCGTCCAGTCTGCTGCTCTGTGACGCGTATCGGTACCCTGCTTTATTTCTATAATGTGCATACTCTAGCGGTGATGCGCTCGTTGTCTACTCCTCTCTTACTTAGGGAGGGGGAATAAGGAGGTGCCCGCGCCCATGTTATTGCTGTTTTGTTTTGTTTTTCGCAGCCAACGAAATGTTCAGGATTGTGGCCTCACACAAAGTTCAAAATCTCACGGACGAGCCTGAACCACATGCAGCCTCGATGGGCGACGTTGCCGCAGTTGCTTGCTGCGACATGAGGCGGGCGTGGTTCCCACGCGCCACTCCAGCCATGCCGACCGTCGGCGCCGTCCTTCCCCTACTCTTCTAATGTCCCTCTGGCACATCATCATTCTCAATCGTATCCTCCCTGGTTCGATCCCGCCTCACATGTCTTCGGATCTCTCACATCGCCCACCCCCATTCATCAGCATCATATTTTCCAGCCTTCCCCATCGTGAACAAAAAGCACCAAGTAAAATTTTACTTGATTTTTCAATTCTCATGTAATTCAATTCTGTAGTCGTTGAGCTATATGAACAATGCCCAACAGCAGGTCTTGTTCAATTTGAACCGGACTCGCTGTCCACGCCGCCATGGCCTGAGCCAATTCGAGACAGGAGTCCGCCTGCCCAACAGCGGCCGCTGTTGGTTGGGGACAACATTTGCTGTTGGGCATTGTACCCATTTTTCCGTACCCATCTCGGGTGTCCAAATTACACGCCGGTCGTTGAAAGTAGGCAGTTTTGGATTCCCACATCCCAATCTGCTTCAAGCGCCTTCCTACTTCAAGAATCGGCTTGCTGCTGCTGCTGTGTTTTGTTGTATTCTCTGGGAGGGCCTGGACCCAATCCGCTTCATCCGCCTTCCTACTCCATGTTTTTACCTACTTCTTCCGACCGACGTGCATCGTGCGTCCTTATCTCAGGAAGGGAAAAAACACACAGGCACAATCAATCGTCGATTCCCCAGAAAATGTAGGAAAATATAGGAATTGGGCGGGAAGACAAAAACCCATAAAATATAGGAAAATATGGGGAATATGTTTATTTGTGTGTATTTATTTGTGTGTCGTGGGGCCCCTTCATTCATGTTTTTACCTACTTCTTCCGACCGACGTGCATCGTGCGTCCCCACCGTACTGCATCGTGCGTCCTGACCGTACTGGTCAGACTGCACCGCCCCAGCCGCCGTCCAGGAGGTCGCCGACCTCAGCCAGACAGAGGCCGGCCCTGCGCCCCGGCACCGCCCGCCGGCTTGGCCCGCGGGGAGGCGCAGCGGTCCGGGCGAGAGGGAGCGTGAAGCTGAAGTCGGGCCCCTCATTCTAGAGGGGGAACATTCAGAAATAGTCAACAGCTAGTCAGGGGGCCATTCTTCTTTCTGTCTCTCTGCATTTTTTTAGTATTGTTTGACTATTTTCAGTTCTTCGTCCAAAATCCCCCCTGTAGGGGCACATGCCCGACAGGACCTAACGCTGAGTTCACGCGGCGTTGGCGCGCCGGCGACGCCGGCGAGGGCGTTCAAGGCTGAATTCTGCGACCCAGAAGCATCGAGGGACACGGTGACGGCGTTGGACCCGCCAGAATTCAACCTTGAACGATATGGCCACGATCGATTCCGGGTTGAGCGGGCGATGCGGTGTCAAAACATTTGGCGCGTTCCGACGCAGCAGGAATCTACTGTAGGATAGGAAAAAGTGAGCTACGAAATCATCTGCTTGCAGCTGGTTTCCGCCCCGCGTCGGGCCCATTCCTCGATACATTGGCGCCTCCCGGCGCCAGGAGCCTCCAGGACAACGAGCTACGTGAGCTGATTCTCTACCCTACCCTTTGCCACCCTACCCTTTCGTTCCCGAGCGGAGAGGTCATCGGTAAGATCGACGTGGATACAGAAAGAGGTACAGAGACCGGCAGCAGTTCCTGTCCATTACTATGTCGGCGTCGCCGCTGCGTACGTCGCCCATTTCAGACAGAAGGCCGACAGCCCAAGAGCGGCCACTGTCTGTTTTGGACAGCATTGGTTGTTGGGTATCGTACCCCCTCTTTCTGTAATTATCCATTTCGGGCGTCCAAAGGTCAGGTCGGGTTGCGAAGAGGATATACGATGTACAGATGGATTCCCCGGATCTGCACAGTATTCAAAAAGTAATGCGGAGGTTTTCTGTCGTTTGCTGCCCCTCGGGTCTCTTGCCGGGCCCCGTCCAACCACAGCTCGGGACGAAAAACGGGCCCAAGGGAATGGGTCGCGACTTCTGGGGACCACGTGTTAAGCAGATCAAGGCCTTGCATGTCTGCGAAAGATATCAGAGAGTCCTGGAACACGCGGGACCAGCCGCGGCTCCCGACACGTGCGCCAGGTGCGCTGGGTCTCAAAGATGTCCGGCTTGTCTCCATTGATATGTGGTATTTTATGCATGAAGGCGTTCATTTGAGACGGGGGGCGATGTGGAAGGGGTTGGGGAGAGGTTTCGGGAAGGAGTGGGGGGAGGGAGTGTGCGGTGCGCCCTGGCCGGGCGCGACAATCGCGCCGAAGGTGACGAAAGGTCAGCCACTGCGCAGATGGGGGTGGGGGGAGGGGGAATGACTTCTTGGAAGCACCCCTGCTTCCCTGAAGGCGCGGGCCGAATCTACCAGATGTAAGGCCGGCGCCTTCCAAGGAGCAGCGTCCTACAAAGGAGCCTTCCCCCCTCCCCCCAATTTCTCGTGCGCACTGCCAGAGAGTCGGAGGTGGACAGACCTCCTTCCCTGACACGTCGATTAAGGAATTGGCCGTTTTCGGTTTGCGAGAGGGCGTCGCGGCCGTCATTTTTGCGGGTCCAGGTCCGCGGGTCCCGGTCCCAGGCCGTGTTCACGAAGGGGAGGTTTACAAAAGGGAGGTTTGTCCACCGCCGAGAGAGGAGAAGAGCCAGGTCAGGTGGCCCCGCTTTCGGCTCCGAGTCTCAAGCTCCTCCTCCTCCTCCTCCTCCTCCTCCTCCTCCTCCTCCTCCTCCTCCCACGAGGCTGCGCCAGCCATGGGGAGAGTCGGCGGCGAGCCCAGGGGGGAAGTGGGCCAGGGCGGTCCTGCCCAGAAGGCGCGGAAGTCCCACGGCCTTCTGTCAGGAGGGAAAGAAACACGCAGACACAATGAATCGTCGACTTCCCCAGGAAAGTATGGGAAACATGGGAAGTGGGGGGGAGGACAGAAACCCAGAAAGTACAGGGAAGTAATTATGGGGAATCCTGTTATTGGTGTGCATTTATTAGTGTGTCCCAGGGCCCCTTCAAAGTGAGCCGGGGCGGTCCTGTCCAGAAGGCTCGGAAGTCCCACGGCCTTCTGAGAAGTCTTGCGGTAGGTTCGTGTCGTATCGACCGGCGGCGACCCCGCCAGCGGCGTTCAACTTTGAACGCCGCGGGCGACCCAGCATCGCTCGATGTGGAACGATTTGGACGTTTCGGAAACGGCCGATCGTTCAAGGTTGAACGATCCCCGCGGTGTCAGAAACCAACGCCGAAGTCGGCACCACACGAACCTGCCCTATGCGCTGTCTCCGAAGGCAGAAAATCTTCTCAGAAGGCCTGAAGCCTTCTGAGAAGCCACGTCGGCTTCTGAGAAAGTTTTCTCCTTCTCACTCCCCCCCGGCGCGTCGTCGAATATCGGTCAGTTGCGGGGGTCCCCGGGCCCGAAAACGAGCTATGAAAAACCAGTCCTCGCTTCGGCGTCACCCCAACATACTGATATTATATGTGTGCGTCGCCCCCCCCCCCCCAGGGGCGACGCGCGCACCGAGAAATCTTCTATAGTATATGCGTCGTGGCGGCCGCTTTCTGGCCACGCCGCTCGGGAAACGGTATACTACGAGATGGGTATACGGTGGCGGCATTGGTTAAGGAATGCGCCCAGGAGGCTGCAGACCCTGGAGGATTCCTTGTTTGATGAGGGCGGCGGTGGTATATCCATGGTCAAGCCTCACTTGGAGTTCCACCGGTTTCTAGACCCTGTACTCCTTGTCTTAAGGGCTCCACGTCCAATGCCCCCACAATGTTATTCTGTGTCAAGGCTGGACCTAAACGGTGTTTGCGCGATTTCGTGGGCCGGTTTCGTTCCGGTTTCGTTCTGCGTTGAAGGCGGATGGAAGACAACACGAGGGAAGACGAAAAAACATAACGGAAGCGAGAAGCACCGTTTGGGTTCGGCCCTGCTGTACAGTCGGGGCCCTGAAGAAGGAACCCTTCTCGTTGGGGAGGGGCTCCGTGTTCCTCAAGTGTTTCACAGCTTGCCTCAGGTTTTCCTCGTGTTTTCGATCGGGAATCGAAGTTTCACTTATGGAACAAAAAGGGCCTCGTTCCTTATTTTGGGTTCCTTAGGTCAAGGCCCCGACTGTATGTTCGGGCCGGACGCGCGCCTCCAGAGATGACACACGGCACCGGTGCGTCTCCGTGCGCCCCATCGCTCGCCGCCGAGAGGGAGAGGGCCGGCTGCCGCTCGGGGAGGGGCCGATCACTTCGCCGTCGGGCCCCGGCCCGGGTCGGGCGAGGGTCGAACTGACAAGCAGCGGCGAAGCGTCCTGGCGTGCCTATAGGCCTACCAAGCAATGTTCTATAAGAGCTTTTTGTGGTCCCCACGGAGTGCTCTTAGAGCATTTCTGGCTGGGACTGTCTTGTTTTATCACATCGGGTTTACGTTCTGAGAACACCCTTTCTTGAAGAATATTTTTGGGTTCTAACATTTCGTGGTAGGACTACAGGAATGCCGGGACGTTCGGTCCCTGCTCAAAGCTGACTCCCGCCCCGCGTGGAGGGAGGCGACGCTGGCGGATGAGAGTAGCGGCAGGCCTCGGGTCGCCGGCCTGCATCGCTCTGTGGAGGACGATCAGTGAAGAGGAAGCGTGCTGCCAGATCATCTCCAGATGTCCAAAAACAGTGTCTCAAGCATGTGTCAAGCATGTCTTGGAACATTTGTGGAACATGTTTCAAACATCTTGAACGCATGTTTAAGTCACTGGTCGGATTGTCAGGGCGTCCATGGTCGTCATGGCATCCACAACCATCGCTGCGACAGGGAAGCCCTGCTCCGAGTCGGGGCAGCAGACCTCGTCACGGCGATCGTGGCGGATCCGGCACTCTGAGAAGCGGCGGTCGTCGCAGTCGTCGAAGCCGACGCCGATGCCGCCTGGGCCCGAGGGGTCCGAGGCCCCGGCGGGGGCGCCGCGCGCCCGCCTCCAGGAAGCCTGGCCAGCTGGGGGCCCCGCGGCCGACCCGGGCTGGAGCTGCCGCGGCTCCCTTCCCCTCGCGCGGCGCCCTTGGCCCCCGCGAGCTCGGGGCCGGCGGGGCGGGGGGCCCGCCTCCCGGCCTCGAGGCGGTCGCTCTCCTGGCCGGAGTGCTCTGCGCATGCCCGGGGTGTGCTCCTCGGCGAGGCCGAGGTGCTTCTGGGCCTGGCCCTGCAGCCGGCTCGCGAAGCTGGTGGCCTGGTCCTGGAACTGGCGCTTCTCCTCGTCCGAAGTGTCGAGCCCGTCCAGACCGAAGATCTCGCTGGCTGGTCGACCTGCTCGACGGTCTTGGCGTCGGCATCGGCGGGGAGGGTGTCGCACAGCTGCCGCAGGAGCTCCTCCTGCGTGGGCGGGCCCCCACCATGGCGCGGGCGCTTGCGGTTGCGATCTGAAGCCCCACCTGGGACCCTTCAAGGCCCCGCCCGGTGCGCGTTCTTGAGAGCTGGAGGGCCGAAGGGCCTTCCCGCACTTTGACGCACGCGGCGCTCTTCTGCCAAATCCGGATGCTGGACTCGTTGCAGAACTCTGCTTCTGGCCTCAGACTGCTCACCCCTCTTTCCATTGCTGCCCATGAGCATTCATCCGGGCGTGTCCCTCCACAGGAGGAAGATTCTAAGATAGTCCAAACATAGCCTGGGGACGTCTGCTATTCTATTTTTCCCCAGCATCCGCCTGCAAGGGGGCATGCTCGACCTAACATCTGCAATGCCCAAGGCTGAGAGACTGGTCCACCAGGAGCGAACAGAAGTGTTGGCTCCACCGGGAGCTCACGTGAGTGTGGCCGAGGCAGGCAGGCCTGCGGGACGGGCTCGCCCTCCCACCTCGGCCTCGAGCTTCTGGAGTCGGGACGGGAGGTAACCTCGCCTGAAGCCAGAGTGGTTTGAGCCCAGGTGGCTACGGGGAGGAGGAGAGCGGCGGAAACCCATGCCGAGAGACACCCTGCTTGCCTCCAGGGTGCCCCGCGTGCCTCCAGGGTGTCGATGGTTTTGCGATGGAGAGCGTGACGTTCCCGCGCCACAAACCAATGGCCGTCCTGGGGTCTCCGGGCTGGGTTTCGCGTGGAAGGCTTCTTGTGGTCTGGCCCCCACTGCAGGAGGAGGGGGGGGAGGGGGAGGGTGGCGCGTAAAGGCTGCCCGCCACGGGCACCAGGCCTGCCTGCCGCCGGCGCCGACGTCTTCACCTGTCCCCGGGAGCGAGGTGGGCGGGCTGCCGCGCCTGCAGGCGCCGACTCTGGTTGAGTCCGCAGGGCACGCCACCGTCGGGTCGCGCGGGCGGGGGAGGGCAAAGCTGATCAATATCGTGGAGCCTATCCCCGTCCCCTCTGGACCCATGGGATTTCAGCCCCACCGCCCCACCACCCCGGTTGGGGATGGGCCCTTCGAAGCCCGAAGGGAACAGCATCTATGGTCCAGGGTCTGGGCCCCCCGCTCCTCCTCCTCCTCCTCCTCCTCCTCCTCCTCCTCCTCCTCCTCCTCCTCCTCCTCCTCCTCCTCTGGTCCCCCCCCATGGGTGTGCTGTGGGTGTGGCTTGTGCGGCGTGGTTCTGTGGTGCTTCGGGAGAACTTCGGGGGTCGTCGCCGCCGCCGCCGCCGTCGTCGTCGCCGGAGGGCTCCCGAGGTCGGCGCCGCCGCCGCCGACGCCGCCGTCGTCGTCGTCGTCGTCGCCGTCGTCGTCGCCGCCGTCGTCGTCGTCGTCGTCGCCGTCGTCGCCGCCGCCACCGTCGTCGTCGCCGTCACCGTCGCCGTCGTGGTCGCCGCCGTCGTCGTCGTCGTCGTCGTCGTCGCCGTCGTCGTCGTCGTCGTCGTCGTCGTTGTCGTCGTCGTCGTCGTCGTCGTCGTCGTCGTCGTCGTCGTCGTCGTCGTCGTCGTCGTCGTCCCCCCCCATCCCATCAGGAGGCGGGAAGGGGCCCGTGGACCCCCGGGACCTATCCCATCTTGGGAGGGGGGTCGTGGGCCCTCAGCCCTGGATCATATATCCCCATGTAGAGGGGGGCAAATCGTCCAGTGGAGTCCAGGCCACGCCGCTGGGGATAGGGCTCGGCTAAACGATGCCCACTTCGGGGAACAAGAACTTGCAGATTTCGGGAAACAGAAATGCTCGGAGGTCCGCGCGGATTTCTCGGATCGGCGCCATGGCCCCCTTGGCGGCATTTCTGGCGACGACCCCAGTGCGGTCCGCGCGCCAGGGAGGTCGTGCAGCGCCCATCCAAGAAATTTGCACGGAGCTCAGAAAGCTTACGCTTATGTATCTGTGTGCTCCCCCAGCAATAGCGACCCCCAAAGACATCGCAACACAGCCCGCCGCAGGCGCTGATTTGGGTTGTGAAAGCAGCGTGGCTACGTCGCCCCTCCGCAGGCGGCGCAGATTTGGTTGGAGCAGTTGCGTCGGCGGGTCGCGTCGCGGGTGGGTCGCGGCGCGCGTGGGTCGCGGATGGGCCGGCGTGCGTGTTGCGGGTCGCACGGCGACGGCGACAATAATCAGAAAGGCAGTGCAAATCCGCATATCGGAGAGAGCGCTTTCTGGCGCCACTGGCAGGGGGGGCGAGGGGTTTCCCCCCCCCCCCGCAAACGAGGGGGGGGGGTTCGGGAACCAGGTCCCCCCCCCCGGAAAAAGGAAGGGGGGAGTGCAAACTCCCCCCGCCGCCCCCCCTCCCCTCCCCGAGCCCTCCCGGAGGGTTTCGAACACCCGGCCCCTCCCAACCGCCGGCAGCCGCCGACGACGACGACGACGACGACGACGACGACGACGACGACGACGACGACAACGCCGACGACGACGACGACGACGAGGACGACGACGACGATGACGACGCCGACGACGACGACGACGACGACGACGACGACGACGACGACGACGACGACGACGACGACGACGACGACGACACGTTACATTCTTGCGCCAGGGGGGGAGTTCGAACCCACCCTCCCCAGGCCCTCCCAGGGGGGTTCGTACCCCCCCCCTGCCCCTTCCCCATGCCGCCGGCAGCCGCCGCCGCCGCCGACGCCGACGACGACGACGACGACGACGACGACGACGACGACGACGACGACGACGACGGCGACGGCGACGGCGACGACGACACATTCTTCCGCCAGGGGGGGGGGGTTCGAACCCCCCCCCTCTCCCAGGCCCTCCCGGGGGGTTTCGAACCTTCCCCCCCCTCTACTCGCCGCCGGCAAACGACGACGACGACGACGACGAGGACGACGACGACGACGACGACGACGAGGACGAGGACGGCGGCGGCGACGACGACGACGACGACGACGTCGCAGATCTGCGCCGGCGCCCGTCCACCCGCGTTGGAGAAGAAGGAGGAGGGAGAGGAGCGGGGTAGAAGGAGGAACAGCTGCGGGAGGGGGCGGGTGTTCAGGGGTGGGAAGGGCAGTGGGCGAGAGAACGCGAAGAGGAGGGGGAGGAGAAGGAGGAGAAGGAGGAGGAGGTGGAGGAGGAGGAGGAGTTGGAGGAGACAGGATTCAGACTGTATACGCGTCCGCCCGACCCGACCCGACCGTTAGGGTACGCCCGCCCGACCCGCTCGATGGGGTCCGCCCGTTCAGACCCGCCCGTTAGGGTTCTCATGTGTCATGCTGTATACGCATCAGACGTCAGTGCCCCGCCCGCCCAACCCGACCTGCCCGTCAGGGTCCGCCCGCCCGACGGGTCCGCCCGTCCCGACCCGCCCGTTAGGGTTCTCATGTGTCATGCTGTATACGCATCAGATTTTAGTGTCCCGTCCGCCCGACCCGACCCGCCTGTTAGGGTCCGCCCGCCCGATCCGCCCGATAGGGTCCGCCTGTCCCGACCCGCCCGTTAGGGTTCTCATGTGTCATGTTGTATACGCATCAGACTTTGGTGTCCCGCCCCTCTGACCCGACCCGCCCGATAGGGGTCCGCCCGTCCTGACCCGCCCGTTAGGGTTCTCATGTGTCATGTTGTATACGCGTCAGAGTTTAGTGTCCCGCCCGCCCGACCCGACCCGCCCGATGGGGTCCGCCCGCCCGACCCTTCCGATAGGGTCCGCCCATCGTCGTCGTCGTCGTCGATGTCGTCGTCGTCGTGATCGTTGTTGTCGTCGTCGTTGTCGTTGTGTTGTCGTGTCGTCGTCGTCGTTTTGGTCGTCTTTCTCGTCATCGTCGTCGTTGTGTCGTCGTCGTCGTTGTGTCGTCGTCGTCGTCGTCATGCCGTCGTCTTCGTCGTCGTCGTCGTCGTTGTGTCGTCGTCGTCGTCGTCGTGTCGTCATCGTCGTCGTCATGGCCGTCGTCGTCCTCATCGTCGTCGTCCTCATCGTCGTCGTTGTCGTCGTCGTCGTCCGTCGTTTGCTGGCGGCGAGAAGGGGGGGGGTAAGGAATCGAACCCCCCCTTGCAGCAGGAGGGGGGGGGACTCGCCGCTGGCAAACGTCGTTGTTGTCGTCGTCGTAGTCGTCGTCGTCGGCGGCGGCGGCGGCGGCTGCCTGCGGGTAGCGGGGGGGGAAGGAGTTCGAAACCCCCTGGGAGGGCCCGGGGAGGGGGGGGAGGGGGAGGGGTCGGACCTCCCGGTTCTTTTGGGGGGGGGGGAGTTGTGCAGGGGCAGGGGTTCGGGGGGGGCGAGGCTCCCAGTTTTTGGACCCTCCCTCATGGATTTGTTTACAGCATAGCCGCGGTGGATCGCGCTCCCTCGCATGTCGGAGCCTTGCTTCAGCAACACACCCAAGCAAAGGACGGTTCGGCATTCCCATCGATGAATCACGCGTAGGTGAGCAACATGCCCAGCAGCCTAGCCTCATATATTAATTAGGTGATGCTTGCGACGACCGACATAATCAGCACGTCACAAAATGTAGTTCATTGTGCACAGACATGCCCGACAGCCTGTCCTGTTGTGATTGCAGTTGCTCAAGACGGCCAACCTAGTCAACACGCCACTATGTAGAAGCGCTAAGAACATTGGGAGTTCTCGTGTCGCTCTTCCTGATTCTCATCTCCCTATCCCTCCGATGGCGACAACGTCTCCGCGCGAGATGCAGCTCTGCTACGACGAGTACTCGGCAGACGAGGACACATCGGCCCGGGTCTGCGCCACGGCTAGCTCTGGCCGACGACGAGAGGAGGGGGGAGGAGAGGGATGAGCAGGAGGAGGAGCAGGAGGAGGAGGAGAAAGAGGAGGTCAGCTACGCTCGAGGAGGAGAAAGAGGAGGAGGGGGAGAACGAGACGGAGGAGTGAAGGAAGAGGCTTTGCGGGAGCATGACGTGGCCGGCCTGGGCACGGGCCAGATACACAGGTTGCCCCACGTTCTCCGTTCCATCGTTTGGTCCTCGTGTGGCCTGGATCCAGCGCGTGGCAGCAGAGCCAGGCCATCACGACGGGCCCGAATCGCTTTTGGCTGGTTCGGGTGTCAGCATGTTCCACGTGCTTATCCAGGTGTGTGTGTGTGTGTGTGCCTGTGTGCGTGTGCGTGAATGTGAGTATGTGTGTGAGTGTTCCAGCGTCTTGATAGGCCTCTCAGAAGGCGGCGGGTCCCCTCAGAAGCCCTCGCGCCTTCAAAGAAGCCGTCTGCGCCTCAGGAGACTGCGAAGAAAGCCTTCCGATGGCTGGAGGCCTTCTAAGCCTTCTGAGAATCCCCCCCCCCTGCTTTCTTCCTCCCCTCTGCCTTCCCCCTCCTCCTCCTCCTGCTCCTCCTCCCTCCTCCTCATCCCTCAACCCTGTGTCGAAACTGTGTATGTGTCTCGCAGTGCCAATGCATCTCTGTGCTTCTCATACATACCAGATACAAGATGCCATGGCCCCATCCACCTGGCCTTAGCTAGGCCCCGACATCTGTCCGTCGTGATGGTTCGGGAGCCTTGAGATGGGGGTCAATGCAAACGGGGGTCAGCCAGAGCGCCAGATCTTGCGGGATATTGCGAATCCAGGGTTGCATTTATTTGGGCCAGCTCGCAGGATCCTGCAGGACCTTGCGGGATTCTGCAAAGCCGACCTGGCCCTGCTTTTCGCTTTTCGGAGGGGGGAGATGCGACACCAACACCACCAGGGGGGCCACCTCCAGCGAGGGGGTCCACGATGCTTCCCCGAGCTGGAGGCTGGGGATGTCTCGAGCGAGAGGGGGGGACCACACCACCAGGGAGACCCCCCTTGCCTCCTCTCATCTCCTCGCCCTAGTGGTGTTGGTGCCGCCCTTTCCTGTTCCTCCAGTGGGGGTCCATGCCAAGAAGCACCCTGCTTGCCTCCAGGGTGCCCTGGGTTTCTTGGGTTTAGATGGTTTTGCTATGGAGAGCGCAACGCTCCCACACCAAAAGTTCGTGGACGTCCTGGGGTCTCAGGGTTGGGTTTCTTGTGGAAGGTTTCTTGTGGACTGGCCTCCATTGTACTCCGAGTTCCTGAATAAGCGTCGGGGGGGCGTCACCCCCGCCGACAGCCCCACAACGACCCCCGTCGCCGGCAGCCACCGCGCGCCGAAGGCGCTCCAACCCCCGTCGCGGCGCGACGACTAGGCGAGGTTGCCCCCCGTCGGGGGGGTACCAAAAAAGGTTTTTTTTTGTGTACTATATATATATATATATGTAAGAAGTAAGTATAAAATAACATGTTAAACAACAAGAGTGTGCTATGCGCCGGCCCGGGCCGGCAGATCCCCGAGCGCTTCGCGCGCGCATCCCCGTGCCTCAAGCAGTGGCGAAGCGTCCCGGCTCGCCTATAGCCCCACCAAACAATGTTCTAAGAACCTTTTGTGGTTCCCACGAAATGCTCTTAGAACATTTCTGGCTGGGACTGCCTTGTTTTAACACATCGGGTTCATGTTCTAAGAACATTGTTTTTGTTATGATAACATTTTTGGGTTCTAAGAACACTTCGTGGTATGACTGTAGGAATGCCGGGGCGGTCGGTCCCTGCTCAAAGCTGACTCCCGCCCTGCGTGGAGGGAAGCGACGCTGGCGGAGGAGTCTAGCGGCAGGCCTCGGGTCGCCGGCCTGCATCGCGTTGTGGAGGACGATCAGTGGAGAGGAAGCGTGCTGCCAGACCATCTCCAGATGCCCAAAAACAGTGCCTCAAGCATGTGTCAAGCATGTCTTGAAACATTCGTGGAACATGTTTCGAACATCTCGAACGCATGGTTAAGTCAATGGTAGGTTCGTCAGGGCGCCCACTGGCGTCATGGCATCCACAACCATCGCTGCGACAGGGAAGCCCCTGCTCCGAGTCGGGGAAGCAGACCTCGTCGCCGTCCCCCCGCTCCACTCGGCACCGCTCGGACGTGCGCATCTTTCCTTCGGCGAGGACCCTCGAGGAGCATCCTTGACCATTCGGCGAAAAAGCCACGCACGAGACCGAAACAAACACAGGAAATGGACGTCCCAGCGATGCCCATACAAGTGCTCGCGCTCCCCGCGCCAGGGAGGGGGGTCCAGCGCCGATCCGAGAAATCCGCGCGGACCTCCGAGTTCCTATGTTTGTGCCACTTTCTGCTCCCCTATTTTTGGGGTCTAAGAACATGTCGCGGTATGACTACAGGAATGCCGGGGCGGTCGCTCCCTGCTCAAAGTGCCCGCGCCCCCCGCGCTCTCCGGCGCCGCAGGAGGTCCGGGCCGCGTGGGAGCAGTCCGGCGTGGAGAGCGGCGCGCGCGCCCCCCGCCGGGCGGCCCCGCGCGCCGTCGGCCCGCCCCCTTCCTCTCGGGGGGCGGCGGGAGGGGCAACGACTTCTCGGAACGTCGGACCTTTTCAAACGACGCGAAGATCGGGACAACATCGGATCGGGATGACTCGAAATCTCTGAGAATCGGCGGGTTTGGAGCATGTATTGGGCGCCGCGGGCGCTCTCAGAGCGCTCCGGAACGCTCTGAGAGCGCTCGGGAACGCTCTGGAGCGAGTTGTCCCGATCCCAGCCCTGTTTTACTCCTCTCGGGGGGCGGCGGGAGGGGCAACGACTCCTCGGGACGTCGGGCCTCTGGGCCCCTCTGTCCATGCGGGGTCCCCAGACGTGCAGAGCCCCGAGTCATCAGGGGTAGCTCGGGTCAGGGCTAACTCGGGTTCCTTTTTCGGGAACCCGAACCCGAGTTGCCCCGGACCCGAGTTGCCCCGGACAACTCGGGCGTCCAGAGCCCCGAATCATCAGGGGTGGCTCGGGTCAGGGCTATCTCGGGTTCCTTTTTCGGGAATCCGAACCCGAGTCACCCCGGACAACTCGGGCGTCCAGAGCCCCGAATCATCAGGGGTAGCTCGGATCAGGGTTACTCGGGTTCGTTTTTCGGGAACCCGAACCCGAGTTACCCCGGACCTGAGTCACCCCGGATAACTCGGGCGTCCAAGATGTTCCGACCCTTTCCCCGGAACCGGCCTTTCGTCCTGCGTCGGCGTCTGACGGCCCCAGGGCCCGGCGAGGGCCCCGCTCGTGATTTGCCACGACGCCCACATGGCGGATGCCGGAAACCCTGAACCCAAAAACGTCTTCATCTCTTGGGATTATGTCGGGCCTGTCCCCATGCAGGGGGATTTTCGACGAGACATAAAAAATCGGAGGCCCCCAAACGGGGTGGTGACCACACCGTGCGGTGAGTCGTTGGGAATTTTGGGTCACCGCACTGTTTTGGGACTCGGGTTGTTCTCCGAGGATGTCTCGGGCGACAGGGGCCTCCGGGGTCCCAAGACCGTGCGGTGACGGACCGTGCGGTGAGGTCTTGGGGGATTTCGAGGTCACCGCACGGTCTGTCACCGCACCGTTTCGGGACCCCCAAAAAATACCCCCAAAATACCCCGAAAAGGTCAAGAAATACTCCAAAAGTAGTCCCCAGATCGTTTTTGGATTGTTGTTTTTTGCCTGTAGGTTATGTCGGGCCTGTCCCCCTACAGGGGGATTTTTCTGGACGCCCGAAACGGGTACGGAAAGAATGGGCACAACGCCCAACAGCAGTTCCTGTTCATTTTGAACAGGATCCGCTGTCCGCGCCGCCGCGGCTTGCGTCCATTCAAGACAGAGGGCCGCCTGCCCTACAGCGGCTGCTGTTGGTTTGGGACAACACTTGTTGTTGGGCATTGTACCCATTCTTTCCGTGCCCATTTCGGGAGTCCAATTCCTTTCGGGAGCAGCGAGAGGGGCAACGACAGGGTTATGTCGGGCCTGTCCCCCTACATGGGGATTCTCGACGAAACATATCAAATATCCCTAGATACCCCCAAAAAGGTCAACAAATGCTCAAAAAATAGTCCCCAGATCATTTTTGTATTATTTTTGGACCATGTTTGGAGTATTTTTTATTTTTCGTCGAAAATCCCCCCGTAGGGGGACAGGCCCGACATAACGATAGGGGGGGGGAAAGCATAGGGGGGGACGCATCGACCCCCCAGTCGCCAATTGATCGCCGATAGGGGCCCGATAGCCCCAACCTGCCCAGGAAGGTGCGGACTCACTATCAGAGGCCTATCGCCGATCTATCGGCGACGTATCGCCGATTCCAGGTCGATGCATCCCCCCCTATGCCAGTCCCCCCCTATCGTGGCCCCTCAAACGAGAGGGGGGGATGAGGCAGATCAGGAGCGGAAGAAACACACAGACACGATGAATCGTCGACTCCCAGGAAGATCTGTGCGAAAACGGACAAGAGGGGGGGGGAAGGCGAATACCCAGAAGATATACGAAAGTATATGGGGGATCTCTGGGATTCGTGTGTATTCGTTTGTGTGTGTCCCAGGGCCCCTTTAGCATAGGGGGGCGGCGAGCGCCTTTGGCGAGCGGGGCTGGCCGGCGGGGCGCGGCTCGAGCTCGGCTGGCGGGGCCCTCGCCTCCCGTGTCTGGGCTCGAGCTCGGAGGAGGACACTGGTGTCGTTTCACCGATCCCCATCCCCATCCCCATCCCCATCCCCCTCGAGACCCCCACCAAATTGCCACCCCAGTTGGGGATACACCCCTCGAAGCCCGAAGGGAACGGCCTATATCCCCATCCAGGGGGAAGAATCGGCCAGCGGGGCCCAGGCCACGCCGCTGGGGATGGGGATCGGTTGAACGATACTCAGGAGAAGGTATCCCATACCTCTACCCTCAGGGGCAACGACAGGGGGGGAAAAGCATAGGGGGGGATGCATCGCCCCCCCGTCGCCCGCTGATCGCCGAGAGGGGCCCGATTGCCCCAACCTGCCCAGGAAGGTGCGGATCCGCTATCGGAGGCCCATCGCCGATCCATCGGCGATGTATCGCCGGTTCCAGGTCGATGCATCCCCCACTATGCCAGTCCCCCCCTATCGTTGCCCCTCACTCTCGCGCCCATGGACGGGCCTCCCAAAGCAGGTCCGAGCAGACTCAACGTTTGAGCAGTTTTCCAAAGTTACCCACCCTTGCCCGAAGAAGAAGAAACGCCATAAACAGAAACTTTTGGCGCTCCGCGCGGATTTCTTGGATCCGCGCTAGGCCCCCTGGCGCCGCCCCTCGCGCGCTCCGCGCGCCAGGGAGGGGGGTCCAGCGCAGGCCCAAGAAATCCGCGCGGAGCGCCAACTGTTTATGTTTATGGCGTTTTTTTTCTTCTTCTACTTGCATCCTTCCCCTTCGGCCCATGCTTGGCCGCTTTCTCTGGCCGCGCCCCATCTCGCAAAGTGTCGCCATGGACGGGCCTCCCGCATGGGGTCCGAGTAGAGTCGACCAGCGCAGTCGGGGCTCAAGAGACGGGGGTCAGTGCAAACGGAGGTCGGTCAGAGCGCCAGATCTCGCAGGATCTTGCAGGGCCCGGGTTGCATGGACCTGGGTTTGGGTGTAGGATCCTGTAGGATTTTGCAGCATCCTGCATGGCCTGACTGACTCGGGTCTGGATTGACCCGGGTCAGAAGAACCCCGAGTATTGGATGAGCAGTTTTCCAAAGTTACCCTTGCATCTTTCCCCTTCGGCCCATGCTTAGCAGCATTCTCTTGCCGCGCCCCGCTCGCAAAGTGTTGGCATGGCCTTCCAAGGCCCATGCATACGTATCGTGCGTCTTTATTTAGCGGGTTGATTGTAGATGGGGTCGGAGGATCGAGCCGCATCGCCGATGCGGCTCGATGTGGAGCCCAAATCTTCTCCACGCCGACGTCACCGGTGCATCGCCGATGCATCGCCGATGCATCAGTGACGCATCGGCGATGCGGCGCGAGCCTCCGACCACACTTAATCGGATCCACTCTAGGAGGCCTCTAGCCATGTAGGGCGCTTTTTGACTCCACTGCCGACGGCTTAACGGCTTCTGCCGTCCTTCGGTTCGCGCTGGGCCGGCCATGATTTGCTCCAGATCTTCTCTGAGATGCCTGGAATTACCTAGATTTTCTTCGACTTGCCAGGATTTGCCTAGTTTTACCTCGGATGATTGGCATTTACCTTGATTTATCTGCCTTGATCCCCACAAGTCGATCGGCGAGAAGTCGTCAAGGTTTTCGGGACACTGGACCGATTTGAAACGATTTCCCAGGGTTCCTACTTCATCCGACTCGGTGCAGGCATTCCGATATGCACTTCCGATTTCGACCTCGCCCGATCCTGCGCAGGGCTGATTCGATGTGTTAGCCGAGATGCTCCACTTCCTGTAGATCCGGCTCCTCTCCAGCTTGGCCCAGAGCCCATGCGACGGGTGCGACGATCAAGACGACGAGTGCGGCGAGTGCGACGACGCGAATGGGTCAGCCACGCGCAGAGGGGGGTGCTTTTTAGAAGCGCTCCTTCTTCGAGGGCGCGGGCCGTCTGTATAGATGTAAGTTTGGCGCCTTCGAAGAAGCAGCATCCTTCTAAGAAGCCTTCCCCCTACCCCCTACCGCCTTGTGGGCGCCGTCAACTGGGGACTCCGAAATGTGCTGCCTACGGCTGGTTTCAGCCCCACCGCTGGGCGCCTTCTTTGGATGCGCTGGCGCCTCCCGCGCTTGGATGCGTCGGGGAACTCAGCAACGTGAGGTGATTCGCTACCCCCCACCTCTGCTAATTGCCCCTCGCCGTTGTCCCACCCGAGAGTTGGAGGACCAGCTCGCCATGAGAATGGTCCGCCCAAAGGAGCAAACACAGACACCCTCCACTGGATTGTTCCTGGGCCTCAGGGGAGGGTGGCGGTGTGTAAATCGCCACTGAGAGCCAGCGACTTTATACACCGTCCCCTCCCTGAAGGTACAAGCGAAATTCTAGACGCTTCGCGTAACACCACCAGCCCATCCAGAAACAATGCCCAGACGAGTTGCCCTGATCAGGGATGTGGAGTAGAATTTAGTGGAAGAAAGTGTTGGGTAAGACGTTGTATCCCAAGAGGGTGAGGATGGAAGAG